GAAGATGAAGATTGATATGAAATATTATATCAATACCCTTATTGGAACATTAGCACGTTTTATTAATCACTATGCTCGATTTCAAACGAATGATGTTGATTATAAGAAGAGAGATGAGATTAGTCAAAAGAATGCAGAAAAATTTTTGAGAGGTCATGTCGCGATGATTGATGATAGGATGACGATTCGTGATATTCGTGATTTTTTTATTCCAACTAAAAAGATGATTTTGGAGCAAGATGATAGAGATCAAGAGAAACGTATAAGATTTAAGTAATCTTTATTGAATGTGTAATAAATTTGAATAAATTATATTTATACAAAGAAAGAATTAATGGTAATATTGATAAATTTACTCTTGGATATATGGTTAAAACAAGGTTCACATAGAATATGACTGTGAACGTGATCATATCCTCGAAGTGTGAATACGTTATGATCGCTAATGATACCCATTTGACATGTTGGTATTCCACAGCAGTTATTTAGGACACAACACGGTTTGCACAATTGCAATTTTCCACATTTTGCACAAGTAGATTTGAACATCTGATCGAACTGAGTTATGGTTTTCAAGTAGGTGCGACGTGAACTTGATGGGCTTCTGCAATATGGATGACCTTTCTTGTTATATTTAATTGTTCTTTGTGCAGGTTTGTGGTCTTTGCATTTATTCAATTTACACTTGGAACATCCATTTCGATTATGTTTTTGATGAAAGGTAACTCGATTGGTTTTTCGATTAGGTTTATCAGTCTTGCTATCATAATTGATAAATTTAAAGATTTCTGTTGTATTTGTGATTGGATTGATCTCAAGGAATACGATCCCTGGTATTTTAATATATTGAGTAAAGATATTGAAGAGATATTTATTTGCCCGAGCTAGATGTATTTTATCTTCATATGAGTAGCATGATTTGAAAGTGATAACAATTAATTCGAGTGGAAGTTTTGAGAGCAGCATTTCAAATAACAAGAATAGGATTCTGAGAGTTTAAATAGGTTTTTATGTTTCACAGATTGGTTGATCAAGAAAATATAATACTCTTCTTTCAGATGAGAGGTAGGGATTCTGAATCATATGTGATAATAACTTTATAATTTATCAATGGAAAACTTGTGAAACAAGTTTTCACGACATCACGTCCCACAGGAACGTGATTTTATTTAGAGTTAGGGTGGGCCGGGGGGTGGGTGTGTGGGTGCATGTGTGGGTGCGTGGAAAGAACTTTATAGATTGCAGCGACTCTTGTATCATCGATGCAAGATGTCCCCCTCGAGGAGGACTCTAAGGGGGTGATGTGTTAGAAAAATAAATATAAATAGATGAGCTTATTATAAATTAATTCAAGAAAATGAAAAGAACTCTGGAAATTGATTTTGATACCATTGAGCGTGTTATTCCTAATCTGAGTAAACGAGTAAAATTTATGCAACAAGTAAAAGAATATAATGATATGATAAATGGAAAGGGGTTATTTGTGAGTGAGAATGAATTAGATAAGGATGAATCGAGTGAAGATAAATCGAGTGAAGATGAATCAAGTGAAGATGAATTGAGTGAGGATGAATTGAGTGAAGATGAATTGAGTGAAAATGAATTAAAGAAGGATAGTGAAGATGAATCGGATGGGAATACCAAGATACGAGAGGGAAAACCTTATAATAGTTTTGTGAAAGAGAGATTTAATGATGTTAAGGAATTAAATCCAGAATTGACCAATCAAGACATCTTTAGACTTCTTGCTATTGAGTGGAAGAGTAGTTCGATGAATCCCAAAAATGATTG